ACGTTACGCTTTCAGTAGATATATTTTATTTTGAAAAAAAAATGTATGTCTTATTTAGATAAGGATGCGGTTCAGTTTGTGTTCATTAGGCTGTGACTGCTTATTTTTAGAATGTGTCAGGAATCGCACGAAATGTAACAATATAAATATGTTAATCTTACACAGCAGACGTAATCGTGACGGCAGATAAATGAAAGAAAGTAGAAAATGGTAGTTGGAAATTCAAAGCTATATCTCATTTTAAAAAAAGTAAAATCAAGAATGCTAGCAGTATTAAAAAAACACCGACAATATAAAAACATACTGTTGCGGTCTAAGGCATTTATTGGGGAGACTGAGTATTTAGGAATATTGAAAGCATCGGGTGTAAGATAAACCAGGGTGATGAACAGAATACCACACGCAAAAGCTGCATTTTTATAAAATGAATATTTAAATAGGGGGGGGGGGAAGAGAGAGTCCTACCACTAAAGGTTAAACAGAAATTCGTGCATCGTACACTCTGTTAGTTAGAACACATGGACATATATCTTTGACAGTTAATAGACAAATGGCCGTGAACATTTGACAATTAGTAGACAGGTACACAATGTTTCTCCTATAATAGGAGATGATGACATAAATGAACAAAGAACTCAAGACACACAAAAATACGAATAGATGAATAGATAAATTAGAAAGAATTCAAAAGGATGCGACTAATATTAACAACTACGGAGATGAACACAACATATTTAAAATATACATTGTCGTGTGTTACACAAACTGACAACTGCTATATGGTGCAGAGACCTAAGCACTGAACACATAAACATTATTGTGCGTTACATAAAGTGACAACTGCTGTATGGTGCAGAGACCTAGACAATGAACACGTACACATTGTTGTGTGTTACATAAAGTGACAACTGCTATATGGGGCAGAGACCTAGACAATGAACACGTATACATTGTTGTGTGTTACATAAACTGACAACTGCTATATGGTGCAGAGACCTGGGCAATGAACACGTATACATTATCGTGTGTTACATAAAGTGACAACTGCTTAATGGTGCAGAGACCTGGGCAATGAACACGTATACATTGTTGTGTGTTACATAAACTGACAACTGCTATATGGTGCAGAGACCTAGGCAATGAAAACGCATCTACAAAACCGTTCTCTTTATGTAAAGATGTGGATAAAAAAAATAAAAAAAAGTAAAGATCCCTTTTCACGCCATTCGGCGCATCGGGCATATGGACAGAGCGTCCCTTATTTTTACAGACCATCAGCACCACTCTGTGGGTAATGTTGTCAGCATTACGCTGGCTGTTTTTACTCTCCCAGGACAGCCCATCCTGGTACCCATTTAAGGCTGGGTCAACCTGCGACGTCCCATACCACGACAAAAATCCACGCAACCTGCAGTGGGTTTCAATCGCGGTATGCTGGCTCACGAGTAGGACTCGCAACGCCTTAGCCACGGACGCCGCTAAGATGTGGATATATGGACAAATATGTTGTATTCCATGAGGAAAAAAAGAAGACAAATCACATGTGAAGAGATTGAAATGAAACGAGATTTCCAACAGAAATAATTTCAAAATTGAAAAAAGTAGCCTCAACTGCTGGGGGTCCTGGGTTCAAGCCTCGTGAAGGCTGGGATTTTTCACGTGGATTTCCAGTAATTTTCCCTGGTCTGTGGGTAGTAGGATCGGACGCTCGTATGTATTGTTGAGCATGTACAAAAAAAATCCCTTGGTTGCAGGAAATAGAAAAATAGTAACCTAACTGCTCCTAATGCCGGAGCAAAATTTAGAGTTACAAATGTATTTTAGTATCCTCGCCATTGCTACGGAGTTCGTGCACTGAGTTTGAAGTTCTTCGGGCTAGAGTCAGAAGTAGAAGGGAGCACTGGTGGGTTACTAACCTTGTGCTATGATGTTGATCCGTTGTCTAAACCTAAACCTCTACGTTACGGAGAAAGAAAGCTGAGTCTTCAAGCATCTTGAGCATTAGCTGCTGTTGCCAGATGTGTATACATCAATAGGTACTTTGCGGGTGTGCCTGCACTAATACATGCTGGAATAAGAATGGACAAAGCAGAGATGTTTTGATGAAAGAAGGGCAGAGGTCAACCAGCACACAAATGGATCCAAGACTTTAAAGACACCAACATGAATTAGGAAGTGGCAAAAGATCAAGTCTTTTTTTTTAAAGAGCTGGGATGAGATGTTTTGATGATGAAAGAAGGGCAGAGGTCAACCAGCACACAAATGGATACAAGACTTTAAAGACACCAACATGAATTAGGAAGTGGCAAAAGATCAAGTCTTTTTTTTAAAGAGCTGGGATGAGATGTTTTGATGAAAGAAGGGCAGAGGTCAACCAGCACACAAATGGATCCAAGACTTTAAAGACACCAACATGAATTAGGAAGTGGCAAAAGATCAAGTCTTTTTTTTTGAAGAGCTGGGATGAGATGTTTTGATGAAAGAAGGGCAGAGGTCAACCAGCACACAAATGGATCCAAGACTTTAAAGACACCAACATGAATTAGGAAGTGGCAAAAGATCAAGTCTTTTTTTTTAAAGCGCTGGGATGAGGGTTAGATTCTTCTTCAGCATTCATAATTTAAAGTATGGCCGGTGTTCTGTTATGGTTTGCCATATCTGTACCTTAGTTCTAACACATCCTATTTCAACAGATCAATAAAACACAGGACAAGAAGATCCTGGCACTGACATGAAAACGACCAATCTCCCCCATTATTTTTTGGGGGAAGCTGAACATGAAACCAACACTAACATTTATTGACTGGCTCTTGTTTAGAAGATTCAGGGATGGCCATGTACAAATTACTCAGCTCAGTACAAATGTTAGCATTTCGAAATGCCATATTTTCAACAGCAGAAAGAAACATACTGGGTAAACTGCATCACATGCACGGACACAATAATCGAGGCAAGTACTGTTAGTTAAAAACAATACAAATCTGCTCTTCTACGAGTTTAACAAGGTAAAAGTCACTGACCAGACTGCAACAGCTTGTGAGTACTTGGCTGACAAATGTCCTTGGCTCAGTAATTCTAACTTACGTAAAATCAACACCTACAAAATGAGATGCCTGAGAAAAGCTACAAAATTAAGCATCCAAGATAAAGTTAGAAATATTACCAGACAGACTGTAGGAACAACACCATGCAGCAAATTCATGGAGAAACAGAAGATCAAATGGTTTGGTCATTTAGTAAGAATGCAGCCAGAACAACTACCAACGCAGGCGCTACACATGAAAAGATCTGAAGTGAAAGCAAGAGGCGGCCCTAGGAGAACATGGACTGATGACATTAAAGAGCTTCTACATCGACATGGAATGACTAAAGCCACTGCTGCTTACCAAGCAATGGAGTGCAAACTGTTTCTCCCCATAATGCTTAATGGCCAGTCAATCAGTAGTATGTCTCTTGCAAAACTTTGCTCCTATAATCACCCTCAGGAAAACTTCTCGATAATAAGCAAGATGTCCCACATCCAATACACCCATCTGGAGATCATCCGACACATCCTGCACCCATCTTCTCTTCTGGCCTTTCTCTCTTCCCAGGCATATACCCCCTCCATTATTGTTCTCCCTGAACTTTTATGATGTTTAAAGTGACCAAAATATTTCAATTTTCTGTATTTTATCATCTTTAATAGCCAACCTTCAATATTCATCTCTTGAAGTTTCTTTACCCATGGTATTTTTAGGACCTCTCTAACATTTGTATTTAAAGGCATTTATGCACTGTTCAGCTTGCTTAACGGCAGAAGTGGAAAGTGATAATGATGATGATATCAGAAACTATGCTCCAGCCTCATATACCATATTTTGTCATCTCCAAGCAGCAGCAGATTAGCTGACAACTGTCATTTGTGACATCAGATTTAACAAATCAACTGCTGTCTGCATCTGTGTGTGTTTCATATTTGGTTAGCCATCAGGTGGGTCACGAAACACCTGTCACTGTTTTGGTGGGCCGCGGATGTAAACAGGTTGAGGAACACTGGAGTAAAGGACATGCAGCTAATTTATAAATATCACCAATAACCCACATCCGTGCCAGAGAATAAAAGTTACTAAAATGAGAGATATAAACCAAGATAATATATTTGAGTAAAACATGGTATAGACAGACAATCTCAGAGAGTTAGCATATTGTTTCACATTGTTTATTACATACAAATCTGATGTAATGTATTGCATGTAAAGTTATAGCAATAGTTCCTCTATCACACTTAATTGGCACAGTAAAAGCATTTGTGCAATCTTCTTCTTCAGCTGCTGAGCCCTGTCTCCATTTCTCTCTGTGACTGGTTGCGTATTTTTGTGACACCAAGTATTTGCAGGTTGCCTGAATATTATCTCCACTGTTCTTGGCCTGTCTCAAATACTTGTGCTATATGCATAAAGTAATTACAACACCCTCTAACCATTATAAAACTAGCATGCTAAACAGCACACTTTATAACATCAATTAAATTTTAATTCAACATATAACATCAGTAACTGAGCATATCTACTCGTGGCCACTGCTTGTGCCGATTGGGTTCTATACATACAATGGACCAATTATTAATATGATAATAAAACAATTCTGAGCACTTCATATGCCAGTTAAGCAATGGTTAATGCTAACAAATCTGTGACTAGATGAGTGGCCAGTGTGATAATGTCTCATAAACTAGAAGAAACAAATATGAATGCAAGAGCAAAAGTTGGCAGCATTGTTATTTTAATGTCCTTCTTTGGTGTATATATGTATTTCAAAACATACTACAGGTGGTCATGAAGTGACAGTTTTCTGTAAACTTCATACTGAGCATATGAAAAGGAATGGAAAACACACTCAACACAATTTGTTCGAGCCATTTTATTACACATAAAATAACAATTAACAGATGCCTGTGCTTGAGAATTACAAAAAAATTTCACTGAGTAGTAAACATATATATATGTTGCAGAATGAACTTAAACCATTCTATGGATAGTGTCCCTATCAGCCTGGGTCTCTATATGATCCAGTTTGTTCCACCATGGATACAGAAAATTCTCTACTATAAGTTTGAACCATGGAGTCACCAAAATCCCATTACTGTCTGCTGTGTCTGTTAGGAAAAGAAAAAAAGAAAAGAAAATAAACACATGACTTTACATTTTGCAGGAAGCAGATTACTATCCTTCATCTGAACCTTAAAAAGGGTGGTTTCCACATTGTGTCGTGCTTTACAGCTAGGCTGTGATATCTGTGCTTTTCAGCAAAATACTTATTAGTCGCCTCTTTTAACATGTTTGTTAGGGCACATTATTTTTCTCAAAAATTGAAGCCCCACAAACCACATGGGGAATTACTATATGTATTAACTCTTGCAGTCCAAGAAACACATCATACATTCATAAGTTCCTACCTAGAAGCCCAGAGAACACAAGATGTGCTGATTTGACCTCAGCCTTTATTATCACTTGGGCTTCTGATGCTGAACCCCCTGGGATTCAAAGAGTTAAGCAAAGCAAATTTCTCTGACCAATTAAGTCAGGAATTTGCTGTGTGGTACACACAAACCATCCTATAAATTTGATGATAAGCCACTATTATCAACCGATCCCAAAAACAATAATCCTGTATCAGTCTCCATTTCAGCATGATAAATATCATGACAAGTGCTTGTGAAATTAGTGTTTCTGACTATAGAAATATTAAACTCTTGGAACTGAATGAATTATTGAACCAAGAACTGATATAAATATAACTGCACCTGAGGACATTCCCATGTATGCTCTGTCAGCTTATCAGTTGGCAACGAAGGGTTTCCATACTGATGGTGGCAGATGCAACCGGAAGAAAAGGTTGGCTTTTTTTCTCCTCCTGCATGCAGAAAATTGTTCACATTCTCTGCTCACTTCCAGCTGAATCATTCTCTCCAGATATGGATGCTGAGTCTGTTCTGCTGCAAAGTTTACTTGATCCATGTGAGCCTCCATCATGTCCACTTTATCGTAAAGTAGCCCACCACCCAGAGGGTTGGCAGCACCTAATCTATTACCATGCTCATTATCCCGTACACCCGAACATCCTGGGCAAAAGAATAATCAATGATATGCTTCTTGTCTGAGTCTCATCAAGCAACACAAGCCACTCTAAATGCTCTGCAAGTTAGTCACAATTATAGCATGTTAAGCTTCAATACTCTCTACTATACTACTTGGGCTGTACTGTTTCCGAAACTGCCATTACTGCATTCACTTCCATTCTCATGCTAGATGGTGTGAAACTGCAAGTGACTTTTCTTTTTTAAACAACATCCATTCTCCTTTGCAATGAAACCCCAACCATTCTGTTTATGTCTCGGTACAAATGTATCTATGTATATAATATTGCCTGACCTTGAATTCTGAGTGATCAGTTCTTGCACCAATATTTCTGTTCCCTAGCTTTTCCCAACACCCTTGGTCCAAAGTAACTCTCACTCCATGGAAGGCTGCTTTGCTGGGCAGCACTGCCAAATAATTACTAATAAACTACAAACATTCATTAACTGTGCCTGCGCAGAACGGAAGGAATTAAACAGTATTATAGAATCACTAATATTGAGCTTTGTTGGAGAATTAAGCACGCTTCAGTGAATCAAGAAGTGAAGAAAAGATGCTGGCGTTGGAAAGGACACACACTGAAAAACCTGAGAACAATACAACTAGAATGTCTTTATGGTGGAGTCCAAAGGAGCATAGCAATAAAGGCAGACCAAAAAACAAAAACACACGGAGAAGGGAGCTAGAGACCGAAGTTAGAAAGATGGGGATGGAGTGAGCTTTAAGGGATTGCAAAGGCTAGGATGACCTGGTGTGAGTTGGTTAAAGGCCTATGCTCCATTGGGGAATAAAGAGCAGAAGAAGTGATTCTCCAACTCCCACTGGTACGTGTTATATTTAGAATATCATGAAACTAAAAATATGTAGAATGGTTTTAAAATATATAATTTAGAGAGTTCAATATTTTTGTTTGACCTCTAAAGACTGCTCCAGCTTGCTAATGGGTATCATTGTAAAAGAAATATTCCAACATACCAATCAAGTCCTTGAGCTCTTGCTGGGTTACATATCTGTAACTTTTCACTTCATTTGGATTGACTACAACATCAACATCTCGCTGAATAAACAGGATGTAATCAATCTCATGCTCTCCCCACGTATTGTCTTTTGGGATGTTCTCTGCTTTGTAGAGTATGCGTGTGAGGTAATGAAAGTCTTCCAGAGGAACCTGAAACACCAAGGTACCCAATCACACATATATGTGTGTGTGTGCATGGTAGGAGAACTTGAAATATCAAGGAAAACAATTATACAATATATTCAGTAAGGGAACTTGATATATCCTTTACATGACATTACAGAACCAACCCCATCATTGATTGGCTGTTGTGGTTTTTCTAGGCAAATTTACATCCAGTAGTTTGCCACTGCTTTCTGGACTGTCAGCTTCTCCATGCCACTGTCGAAACCAGCTGGGATCTAACCCAGCACCCTAGCATTATGAAGCGTGTTTGCAACGCCTAAGCCACAGACGCCGACAAGACATTATACAAGAATCAAATTATACAATATACCAGTCAAAGAAACCTGAATGTATCATATGGGGTAAAGATTCAACATCACAGCATTCAGGACAAGCTCATATTTGCTTCGTCTCCCTCCTCAACAGACAGCGAAGAGTTTCCATACTGATGGTGCTTGTCATCGGTCTAACTACTCGTCTTGCCTTTCCTCTGAGTCTCGAGTGGCGCCGAAATCCAGTTTTCAGTATCTTCCTTTTCACCTCTCACCTTGTCTCACAGGTTAGAGATCAACTCTGCATGGTGCAGTTGCAGTAAATCTCCAAGTGAGGCCAGTCCAGCCAGTTTATCTCCCTGCTCATTCCCAAACACTTCTGAATGGCCCAAAAATGAAACAAGTGACTCTCACCACCTGCGACCTCCGGATTGAAGTAACCCGTTCTATATGAAGAAAACCTGACTCCACCTTCATGAGCATGTTTTGCAAATCAGATTCTATGATAACATGTGTCGCTGACATTCTCCCACCCATAAGTACACCAAATTCACCACATCAACCTCTATTCTTTTGTTGATGTTGTAATGTTACATGCCAAGCTCTCCTCTATCATCCTTCTTCCCCGTTACTTTTTACGACAAAGCCCTATCCCCTTTTTCTGCCCCTTACCACTGACCCATCAGTGTATATAATCACACCTCCTGACCTAAAGTTGTCATTTATCAGCTGTCGTCCCCCATTCATTCCTCACATTCTCGTCCCAAGGTAATTGCCACGTTGTACAACTCTTCTCTGCCCTCTGGTACCTTTACCCATTTTTCTCCACAGCTTATCTCTTTAATGTTGCAGACTCTGTTGATTGTCTTTTCAGCCTGGGCCATCCAGGATCTGCTTTCCTTAGTCTGTCAGCATTCACAGAATCCAATTCCCTATGCAGGATGCAATTCATAGAGGAGACACATTTGCAGATATAGACTACTCATTTCAGGGGAATGAAAGAAGAAGATGGGGCAGTGGAGTGCATTTTGTGTGACTTTCACTAGTACAGGAACATTATAGAAATGTGTGGTGACCCATTTTTAGTGAAAAGCCCGACTGACTACATACCTGTCAGTTACAATTGACATGGGAATTTTGCTGAAAGTGAAGTGGAACTGTTTAAGGACACCGATGTATATACCATACAGTACACCTCAGAAGATGTCAAAGAGTGTGACACGCACCTGTTCAGGCTCCACTCCCAACTCATGCTTCAACTTTCTCTGAGCAGCTCTCTTCACTCCGATAGCATCAGTCTCATCCAGCTCATGGGGGAAGTTCAGAGGATGGCTACAGCAAGTGTTTGTAAAGTGATCTAAAAATTATCAACAATCATAAGCAACAGTTAGTACAGAATTCAAACGCTGTATTTCTTCTTCAGCAGATAGGTCAGGGATAGACACTGATAATATGGCATCATAGAACAGTCGGTGTTAGTCATTTTACACTTATGGAGCTTTTCAGGAAATCAGAGCACATATGGATCTGTCCGGAACACTGATGACAATCCTAACTAATCACTCCCATGTGCCATTTGATATGTTAATAAGTTTGCATTACCTATATTCAAAGCAATGTTTTCCCGTGGTAAATTTAAACAAAGAAGACATAAACAACAGACTGCACAACTGTATAGTTCGGTTAAAAAGATTCACATATTCGCATCATTTAATCAACTGTGACCGTACTATGCACCTGACGAGATGAGCAAAATCTGCCAGACAAAAAAAAATTTTTTTTATGTCAAGCTCTATGTGGCCAAGGTGTTAAAAGTGCCGGTTTTGTAACGCTTGGGTACTAAGTTTGATCCTAGCTGCTGAAAATTTGGAGCAGATTGCCCTCATTGGGACTTAAACACTCTTTCTGGATCCCGCAGACACTCCATCATACTTCATGAATTCATTTCCTAGGCCTAAACAAGACTGACTCCCAGCTCTTTCTCAGGCATTATATACCTTCTAATGCCCTCCTCGTGCTTTTGAATTCGTGTTATCCGTTTCACACGAATTACATTTGGCCAGCAGTTTTTGTGTGACCCCGTGAATAATCATACTTCACGTGAAGTTTGACAATCAGTATTTCTCGACACGTAAATAATTATACTTCACGTGAAGTTTGACTGTCAGCATTTCTCTACACGTAAATAATTATACTTCACGTGAAGTTTGACTATCAGCATTTCTCTACACGTAAATAATTATACTTCACTTGAAGTTTGACTATCAGCATTTCTCTACATGTGAATAATTATACTTCACGTGAAGTTTGACTATCAGCATTTCTCTACACGTGAATAATTATACTTCACGTGAAGTTTGACTGTCAGCATTTCTCTACACGTAAATAATTATACTTCACCCGAAGTTTGACTATCAGCATTTCTCTACACGTAAATAATTATACTTCGCGTGAAGTTTGACTATCAGCATTTCTCTACACGTGAATAATTATACTTCACGTGAAGTTTGACTATCAGCATTTCTCTACACGTGAATAATTATACTTCACGTGAAGTTTGACTATCAGCATTTATCTACACGTGAATAATTATACTTCACGTGAAGTTTGACTATCAGCATTTATCTACACGTGAATAATTATACTTCACGCGAAGTTTGACAATCAGCATTTCTCTACACGTAAATAATTATACTTCATGCGAAGTTTAACTATCAGCATTTCTCTACAATTCCCGCGAAGTTAGACTATCAGCAGTTCCCGTGTTGTCCCAGTTAGACTTAAAATATTCCACTAACATTTATTAATGACGTCATTCCGTCTAGGCATAATTTATCTAGGAGAAAATGAGATTCACTACAATGACTCTGACTAATAATTATTACAAGGTGCCATCATAAACATTGAAGAGGATGTTTTGCTTACAACAGTTGTGTGGCTGTTGGAGGTAAGTGTGTTATCATTAGATAGGGTAAACTGGCTATCCTCCGAATAATGGGCACAAAAGATGGCGGCCGCAAAAACACCCTAACAGAGCCTCGGTCATGTGTCAATTGCGCACTTCTGGGGACTTAATTTTGGTTTTCCTGCAACTACCGCGACCGTCGTTAGGCAACTTCCACATCTCCTGCAGCTTCGCTCGTGAGTCCTAGCTATCTAGTTTAGCCCCAATCCACGCCGCATGAGCGGCGTGGGGATACTCTTGGCGGTGGTGGTAGTCGCTGGAAAACCGCAAATTAGGTCGCCGGAAGTGCGCAATTGACGTGTGACTGAGGCCCTGTTTTTGGCCGCCATCTTTTATGCTCGTTATTCGGAGGATAGCCGGTAAACTGTTTCATGTATATGCTTCAGGAGTGTATTGTTACATGTGTCTGTTAGCGTAGATTGTGTCCTTAGAGTTTAGCAAAACTCGCTTCACGGTGCAATCCTTGACGTTTACCGGGATATGTTTTCCATTATGCAAGTTTTGGGAAAAGATAATTTTTGTGGCTTTTTGATTTTGACAGTTAAGTCATTTTATTATATCAGCAATAAGCTAATGAATTTGCAGAATTTTATTTCACAATTAGAGTGAGCTTTCATCCAAAATTATTTCATAACAACAACAAAAAGAAATTAGTTCTATTCGTGTAAGAAAAATCTGTGGTTGCCATTTTTTTCAACCAATGTACAGCCACATGATGTTGATGATGATGTGCAAGATGATTAGGCATTTGTTTAAAATTATTCTGGAAATGTATTTTCCATTCAATTTGGTGCAAAACTGCAAAATATTATGGGTTTATGTATACAGTTCATCTCTGTTTATCTGAGCAAACTCTCTGAGTAGCTGAGAACTTATGGCTAAGTGAAGGTACAGTGAAGCCTAGCTGTTAACCACAAAATAACATGCCAACCACCCTTTTAGAGCAAAAGCAGAAGAGTTAGTAGTTACTTTAAAGAAACAAACTGAGATAGAATTAAAATTTAATGACTGGAATCGAAAGAGTTAAGTGCTTGCTTACATTGTTAATAACAATCAGAATTGTAGATGTTTCACCAACCTGCTAAACCTAACAACTACATTTAATTTGCATTATACTAACTATTGAGTTAACACATCAATTTTTGCATTCAGAAAATCAAAGGGTAATAATTTTCATTCAGCTGGATAAACCCTTTAGTTAGTTATAAGAATTTGGTGTTAAATGTTATGTATAAATAAAATACACTCTTCTAATAAACTTTGCCCTCACCTGGAAAAGTAATTTTTTCACTGGCCCTTTGCTGCAACAGTAACTCTCCTTTTGTATTGAACAGAAAAACACTGAAGGCTCTATGAAGCATTCCTGAATATGTCAATATAGAACAGAACATATCATATCAATAAAATTATCTAGTATAATAAATACATACAAACTGTGTTGTTTCCACAATGGAGGCTGGCCACTATGTATCAACTGCTAATTATTGGAATATTATGTAGTGAGGCTCTATAACAGTGCGACTCTCATATCCCTGCCTGCAAGAACAGTCTTGTTCTATGCTATGTTACTACAATGACTCTCTCAGACTCTAGATGCTTGTAGTCTTCACAGACACACTGATAGATCGTTCAACATTACTTACAGAAAGCAAGGATCAATGGAAATGCCCCACAGCTGATCACTATGAAATATTTATTGGATCCTTAACCACAATAAGCGCCAATGTACAGCAGGCATAAATGTCTAGGGCGACCAGCATGGTCATTTACAGGGCATCAGTTTTTACATGTTACCTTTCACTGGGTGAATGAAAGCTGCACTTCTAAACGTAGACACTTCAAGATTCACAACTATTTACAGATGCAACAAACGATGTTCGCCATGGCAAGCTGTCCAGCTAAAAAGATGGTCAGGTTTTCATGGGACTCACAGCTTACATTTGAGCAGACATGTACTTGTATGTAGATTCACTAGACTTTCACTCTTCCAACCCTGCCAGACAAACTTTTCCACGATTGAAAACAAGACTGAATCTTCTCAATAATTCTGAGTTTAAATAATTTATTTCTCTCTCGAATTCTCGAGCATTCTTACACATAATTCATGCTTTCTCTATTGTTGCACATCTCAGCCAATTTGCATGTCTGCTCCTAGTTATTCATCATAATTTGTACTTTATACCATTCAACCAAATTCAAGCACATAATTTATGTTTAGTATTTACCCTCAATTTTCACTGTGATTATCAATTACACTTATCATATTCGATGTCTCTGCACAATACACATTCCCATGCATGCTCAGTCCTTAGATTGAACAGCCCCTCCAAGGTACCACCTATACTGATCGTTCCCATAAGAGGCTGGTTACAGTTTTTCCTGTCTTGAACTCAAAGATGGCATAGACTTGCTTCACCAAGCTTAACCCCCAGGCCATGTAATCATGTTAGCATCAGAGATTCAAAATAACCTCCCAAACTAGTTTGTACAGCACTGATGATATCAGTACTGTAAACGCTTTCTCTTGTTTGCACTGGGGCATTACTTACCAGCTGGTCAGCTTTTTCATTTTCTTTTACTCCTGCATGTCCAGCTGTGTAGATCCAGATGGTGGAGGTTAACTGCAACTTCCGAATGCTTTCTACCCATTCGGAACATAAATGACCTGTTATGATTGTCAAGCATGTTCATTGGGTCAGAAACAATTACCCCATGCGTGGCGGCTTGTTCTGCTACCTCTACCTCTGGAAGCAGCAGTAATCTATATGGTCATGCTTGACACAGTTGCCTGAAAAATGCCACTTTATTGTTTTCCTGATCCTTTGTGCTGTGTATGCCCATGCTGATCTTGAGCCGCACTGCAGGAACCCATCTGTGTAAATGACAATGTCTTGCTTTAAACCGCCCTCTGCAGGAGTCAGATTTGGTAAACGTTGAGGATTTCATTTCACTATTCTAATGTCAAAGGATCACAAAGTTATGGTACAAGTATAATTAACATATTTATATAAAACTGTCTAAGACATCCTTGATAAAAACATTGCATAATGTTGCTTCTATCATATCGGTCTGTCTCCACATAGATTGTCCAATATTTCTTTAATGCTAATGTCCAACTACATGTTAATCAGCACCTGCTTCTTCTAAACAAAAACAAAAATCTTGCCTTCCATAACTATGCATTTAACAGGGGTGAAGAAATCAGTTTCAAAATATGATACCATTTACTTTTTTATTTTTTTTTTATTTTCAGTCTTGCAGAATTTCATTTTCTTTTTAATCTGTAGCATTCTAAAAATATTCTGTACTACACAAGCTCAAAAGCTTTGATTTTATTTGTTAATGTTTGTGACTACCATTCGTAATATACAATAGTAGGATATATGTTATTGACATGTTCACATATGCCTTCAAGCGTACTGGGCATACAAAGATAGACCTATATTTTATAGACCAATCGGTAATCTGTGGGTGATGTGGTTACCACTATACCTACCGCTTTTACTGCTCAGGACTTTACCTGGTACCCATTTAAGGCTAGGTCAAAATGAGAGAGAAGGCATTTGGAAAATTAAAAAGTCTAGCTCTGTCAGGCCCTGAACGCATGACTGGATCCGCAAGCAAGCATCTAGCTGCTACACCACAGCGGCTCTCCAACATTTATAAGTGACTAAATTATCTGAATTCACTGCACACACACACAGCCAGAAAGGTTCAGCCACCCAGCATCTGAGTGCACTACATGGTAATCAGCCTCATGAAACATACCCTTGTTAATATTTTCTAACAAGTGGCAGGTCTTTTTTGAAGCATGACCAATTTTGTTGTCATCCTTATCTACGAGGATACACTCTTCTTCCATCAGCTTCACCTGGATCTCGTCCATTCCGCTGAATATGCTGACACTAGACATCCTAGAAACGGAGATGAAATGGATAACCATAAAGTTGGATGAGTTACATGGATAAAGGCAGGGAACAAACAACAGAGAAGAAATGTATGTGTATTTATATATAAAAGCTGCAGTACAATACAGATCCAAAGGATATCCTCTATGGCGAATTACAGGCAATTAGAAGATGTCAAACGCAATCTCTACTATCATGTAATGGGTGCAGGTAGGACATGAATGATACAGGTACTGAGGTGGATTCATGGAAAGAAAAAGCCATGGACTGTGTTGCGTGGAGGAGACAGATAAGAAAGGGAATCAGAATGAAAAAAGAAATGATTGCAGAAAGAATGAGAGCTGCGTGCCTGAGAAGAAACGCTAAATACAAATGAAGGCAACAATGACCCTGAAATCCTATGCTAAAATTGTAGAAGACATTTCTTAATGAGGGCAGGTCTTGCTAGTCATTCACCATCGCTAGGGGCTGTGAGTCCCCTGGCTCCTTACAGCACAACATAACGCTATCGTCTGCAAAGAAAGAAAATTATCAACCCATTTAAATACGTCCTGCTCTTTTAAATATGATTGAAAAACACACAGATAGTAAGACAGATAGTAAGGCTCTGCTCCGAACTTCTACCCGATATTATGGCGACCATAAAATATCCTTACGGAGCTCAGGCATATGTTAAATGCGAACTTTCTGCCAAGAACAAATCGCGGCAAAACTAGGATTACTTGACAACTTCAAGAGACGCAACATTGCAGACGATAGTTGCAGACGATAATAGCAACCGTTGACAATTTTGAGCGTTTCTGCAGTCGATAGTAGCAGAGGATAATAACATGCGCAAAACGCGATTAAACTCACAGGCGCGGATGGGGGGCTAAACTAGGTGCCTATGACTCATGAGCAAATTAATTAGAGGAAGTTGCAGGAGATGCGGTAGCTGCTGCTCGTGAGTCCCGGCCATCTAGTTCAGCCCTCATCCACGCAGCTCGTAGCGGCGTGGGGGATACGGTCGGCGGTGAGGCATAGTCACAGAAACAGGTCCGCAAGTAACATATCGCTGAGACTCTGTTAGAGCATTTGTTTCGTTATACAGAGCCGGCATATTTTTAATAGAACTGAGCCCCGTAAGGATATTTTATGGCCGCCATAATATCGGGTAGAAGTTCGGAGGAGAGCTGACAGTTCAGGCCTGAAAAAAAGTCTGTGGTTTCAATTTGTTCTTCTTTGTGTTCACCAGCTATGAAAGTTCTGGTTGTTCATCGACTTCAGTCTTGTCCAAGAAACTAAAGTCTGCATGCACACTTGGTTTACTTGTATGCAGACTGTTTGTTTAGCACCTCTCAGAAGAAAAATCCCTAATTAGTCAACTGACATGTTTGTTAGGGAGGCTGAGGTCTATTCCTTTCCCCCACAATGGAGCTCCGAGCCCACACAGGGAGGTTTAAGTTTGAGGTGGTATTATATCTAAACCAAAATGCTAAACCAGCATTTTTTCTAGTAACTATTATTTTATATTGTTAACTGTGCAGTTAAGTAATTTTGCACTGGAATCCACAGAAGTTAGGCACTCACATTTTAAATTGTCATTTACATCTTTGTTTTAATTTACTGACTATCCTCTGAATAACGGCCCCAAATTATCGAGGCAGAAAAAATACCCTAACAGGGCCTCAGTTACATGTAAATTGCGAACCTCTGTTCTTCAACCGAGTTAAAGTCACTGCTGAGAGTTTCTCCCACGCCGCTATGCGCGGAGCTAAACTAGATGTCTAGGACTCCCGAGCAGCAGCTAAAGCATCTCATGCAGCTTCCGCCATTTTATTTGCTTGTGAGTCCCAGCCATCTAGTTTATCTCGACTCCGCGATGCTGGTATAGTCGCCGGGAAGAGGTCCGCAATTTACATGTGACTGAGGCCCTGTTAGGGTATATTTTCAGCCTCGATTAGGGTTTGGGTTAGGGGTAGGGTTTGGGGCAGAGTTAGGGGTAGGGTTTGGGTTAGGGTGACACATCACAGAAATGACGGAAGCTTATCGCTCATTACGACATACAGATCCACAGGTCTCACATGTACAGTCACTAAGTCGTGCGTCGGAAGAAGGCGGTCGCTGGTGTGAGTCGCAGCGCGTGGTCTTTGAGAGTCTTGCGTTGCAAGACCGCGGTCGCTACTGTCAGTCACAGCGCGTGGTCTAGCTCTAGCAGGCATGTCGACCTCACTTTGTTGTTTGATTAGTGACTTGTCCGCTCCGTATTTGCACTGCAGCCAAGGGAGTGAACTCTTGACTAAGCGGCCGTCGCCTTCCAGCTAGCGAACGTTATTTAAAGGAGAGTCTGAATATGAAAAGAAAGTACACAAGGAAAAAGAGCTGGTGAGAGATTGAGTTGAGTTTTTTTTTCAGGCAGGCCGTGACGAGAGCGACGTTTTGCAAAAGGACCTGTTGCATGATAATAATGTCATATTATTTACCTTTCAACTTTGCACTTTGCTGATTTATGTGTACGCATGCTGACTCAAAGCCTGGACTCACTTTGTAATTATTATTTGTGACGTCAGCAGTTTTCTGGCCGGATGTTTACAGTTAGTTACGTTATCTATCACCATCCATAAGTTAAGAAAAATTAATTTTTCTAAGAATTATTTGTCACTTATAAGGTAAATATGAACATACCTGTTCTTATTCACCGAAGAAGGAAATAAATACCGCCTGCACAAATGAAACAAGCAGTACAGTCTAAATGGCTTAGTTGCGTTTGATAGTTTAATAATTCACCGACACTGCACCGTGTACCCGACTGGGAGGCAATGCACCATCCGATCAGACGACATTCGTGACCCGGAAGCTATACAAGGTTGCCAGATAAAAAAAAAACGTCATTTTATGCCAAACCATCACCCAAAATATGCCAGAAAATTGCCAAATTAAGTGTAACATTGAACTCACTTCACATCAAAAGCTCTAGATTGAATTCTTTACTGTCCTCCTCACTGGAACCAGTGGAAGATGCAGCATAAACCTTTTCGGATGTAAAATCTGAATTTTTTCAGATCGAACTAAGTCTTTGCAACATTTCTTTGATATCAATAGTTCTGCTCTAATTCTGACAACTGCATCAAGAAAATTCAGTTGTATTTTGTTTCTTGCTTTTGATTTTGTTGAAGTAACAAGAGAGAAAATTTTCTCAACTGCAGCATTGCTAACGGGCATTATTAAGCAAGTAAGGGCGAAAGTGGCCAACTCTTTAAATGCCTGGTGTCGAAGTACGCCTATCCAAAAATATTCCCTGTTTTCAGGTAGTCCATCCTTCTTAAATGTAGCTTCTTCTTTACAGTTGACAACAATCAGTTTTCTGTACTGTTCTTCTATAATACTGATGTTGTTTTCTGCCAGGTGTAGAAATGGTAGCTCTGAAAACTGTGTCCTTGATATTTGATTTAAAACTGCCAAAGGGCTCAGTTTTGACAGATTTTGAAATATATTCTCTGTGGGAAGTCTACACGTAATTTGATTGAGAGCTTCCTCTAGCACAGACATGCATCTTTCTTTAACAATGTTTATTTATATCTGAGCTTCAGTCCCGTTATTCTTCTGTAGGAACGCATTACATTCCGTTAGGAATTTAATACCAAAGTCAACGTGATGAATATTTTTTTCTGCTCATTGACGTCATACAGTCTGTTCTTAAGACTTTTCTTGTGCATGGACAATTCTTGGTGTAGTTCATGAGGGTCAGCTTTTGTTTGTTGAAAAAGACTATTCAGTCTTTCAAATTATTGTACAATTGGTGTCGCAAACTCAAAGTACAAATAATTTTTGTAGTCTAACAGCATTTCCTTTAACAATCTTACTTTATATTTTGTGTCAAACGTTGTCTGTACTAATTCAGCACATGTGAAATAAGCTTTCAATTCTTTCCAGTTCACCAACATATTGAACGTTATCTTATTATGCACAAGCCACCTAGTAGATGACAGTTTCTCAAATGGAAGAGGAGCAGTTCGTTCTGATTCAAACTCCGTAGATGTGTTCATCACTCTAAACAGTTCTTTATAGGCTTCTCATTTTAAATCACTATGACAAAACCACTGAGGTATTTCTGACAGTGAGAAACCAATATTTGATGGCAGCTTGGCAATTGCACTACAAATACAGAGTGCTAATGAATGGCAGATACATCTGAGCTGTACACAAAAAGGAGACACATCTTTAATTCTGGACCGTACATGTTTGAAGCCCCATCTGACGCAAACCCAATGTAATTTGTAAGACTCTGACCACACCTTTTGATTTCCTTATCAATCAAAATTAAATAAGTTTTCTCCTGTAGCTACTTGCAAGGAAATTCACTCTTTGAGTCCCAAGAAATGCATCATACGTTCATAGGTTCCTACTTAGAGCCCCAATGAACGCAAGATGCGCCGATTTTACGTCTCTCTTGACTACCCATTAGGCCTCTGATGCTAAACACTCAAAGAGTTAAAGCAAGAAATCCAGTAAACATTTCATTTTCCTGTCACTGAAAAAACTAACTATAACGCACAAGTACTTTTGAGTTTAAACTTCAGTAGACTCATTTATAATGATGGCATATTTCTTGTTCCGAAAATTCTCAATAAGGTCATCCTTAAATGTAGGCGATATAATATTTCTTATTAAGCATAAACATTTAGTTATATGCAACTGTATGTGCTCCAGTGTACTCCCCTGACCATGCGCTCTCATTATTTCACTTAAATGATAAATTGTGCGTATTGCACAATGGCGGGTCATGCTTACAGCAAGTTGCAACTTTGCTGTTTTAACTTTATCATTACTTTGCCTGGGAGTTATTGTTGTAATAAGCTGTGACTGGCTTTTTGACGGAGTTTTCATCCTGTGTTTTTCGGATTTTTCTGACACAGTTTACAATATGCTGCCTCTGATCCGTCTGAAGATCTTTCGAGCCATGAGTATGTTTTCTTCCAATTACTATTATACTTGCGATTGCTGTCATAAAATGCTTTCCATTTTT